CCTTTAAATTTAAAACAATAATCTATAACCTCAAAACTCATAAATCTCAAATCCCAATAAACTGCAAACACAAAATGAGCAAAAATAAAAACAAAAAACTTACAAGCTAAACTCAAACCTCAATCTCGGAGAGTTTAAACTTCATAATTCTACACCTCCATCACTTCATAATCTCATAATCCATAAACTCCATAACCCTGAAGTGTAACATAAGAAAATTGCATGTCACAATATAATTCCGAATCATGTACAATTATTAAATTATATTGTATCATATCTCCACATCCCCATAACTCCGTACAAAGTATTTTTTTATCGCATTTAAGAGTTGTAGGGTTACGGGGTTTTGGGTTATAGGGTTATGAGGTTTTAGATTACTGGGGTTATAGGCTGTTGGGGTTATAGGTTTATGGGACTTCGGGGTTATGGGACTTCAGAGTTATGGGGTTTATGGTTATGAAGTGATGGATGTATAGAATTACAAAGTTAAAACTCTCCAATATTGAGGATTCAGTTTTGCATGTAAGTTTTTATTATTTTTTGCTCATTTTGTGTTTGCAGTTTATTGGGATTTGAGATTTATGAGTTTTGAGTTATAGATTTTCTGGTTATGGGTTTTAGAGTTATAGGTTATCGATCTCAAGGTTATTGAGTTATGAAAGTATAGGGTTATGGTTTAAAGGTTAATACTGTTGGGTTTCAAACTGTTTTTTGACGTTAGAAAAAACGCTGACGTGATGGAGCAAAACGGGTTGCGGATTCGGTTACAGCAACCCAAAAAATATATGATCCACTTGGTCTGGTTCAAGAAACCCTCCACTCATTTTTTTTGTAGTCCTGTGTAATTTAAGCCACTAATTCTTTTTCTGAATTAACAGGTGTCACATAAACCCTTGATTTAATATGACCCTAAATACAAAAATCAACTGGAGTCATATATGTTGAACGTGCAGGCCAAGAAATAGGGCATAGGCACGTGACCATATAACTGTACAGGCAGTAAATATGGCTCCAGTAAATAATTGTCAACAATCCCAGCTCATATATTAACAGAGAACTCCCATTGATGACGTAACCTGTGAACGGCGTGTATTAAAATAGACACCTCCTGTAAAACATACCTGTCTGTCCATAATACACTCCTAGGAAATCTTGTTTCGTTAATAATTTTATTCAAGTACCATTGGGTAAATTGAACTCTGTTGGTATAATCAACCTGGAATTAATTAACCATTGCACTTTTTAAATGTGAAGCTATACAGATGTGTGGCGTGTATCCATTGCATGGGCAATGGCACAAGTGCTTGTTTTCGGGTTATTTTCAAATTGTTGCAAAACTTTGTCCTCAAAATCAACATTTCGCACAGTACTATTGGCTCCCGAATCTATTTTCTTTTCGCGAATATGCTGATCCACTCTTGAAAATGATGTATAACAGAGAACGTGATGCTGAGGGTGCTACTCCGCATAAATTCGCCTTGCTTCATTAGCATTACAGTAGGCAAGATGCATGTCTGCTAATTCAATATTTGTAAAATGATGCATTGTCAATCAAACACTAATTTATCTAATAAAGACTAATTTGTGCATAGATCTAATATAGTATAATATTAGATCTATAAAGTGACACGTGAAATGACAACTACGAAAATAGTTGTTGTTTTACACAGGTTGTTATAATTCAACTTGTATTTTCCCGACTTATTTCATTTTATCTCGATACTGAAGAATTTCCGGACACCATTTTATTAATTAAAATTGTTTATTTAAGTGACCTCTATCATTTCTGAAAATTAGAAATAGTTATTCTGTAGAATAACCCTGTTGAAATTAAATTAATTTTTAGTTTCGTTACTGGTAATTCTTGCTTACGCACCCTTTACTTGCCCATGAAGCAATTTTGGACTGAAGTATATTTGGCCCAATTATCATGTTATTTTCATGGCATCTTTGTTCCTTTATTTAATTACATCCTGTATTGTAAAAACTACAGTTAGCACTGTCAACTTAGTAATATAATAAGATATAATAAAATTTGCTAATAAAAACACTTTAAACTTATTTTTAGAAATTCCAAATCCCATTTTTCTGGAGAAAAATAAAACAATTGGACTTGAAATTACCAGCCTTATAACGATTTTTTTGTTTGAATACTAGTTTATCGCTGCAAAATTGTAGAACAAAGCACAACCAACTAGTTTTTTCCTCGCAAAATAATTTTTGTTGGATTAACTAGCTTCAGTTTCATTAACTATTACGAGTGATGGTTACAATTTTATTGTTAATGTGTCCGAATTGTTTTCAGAATTTTTCTTTTTCTTTCAGGGTCAAGTTGTGATGTAGTTATAAATAGTGATACGAATAAGAATGGTACCATAATGAGTCCGTCTTATCCATCGCCGTACCCTTCGAAGACGACTTGCAGGTACGAGTTTCAGGGACGCGGCAAAGAGAGGGTCCAAATTGTCTTCCAAGACTTTAATTTATACCATTCTTCGGACAACTCCAAAGAGTAAGTAATCTTTTCTTTTATTAATACTTCATTAAACATAAAGACCTATACAATTGAATAATGTATTTTTCATCTTGATGGGCACAGTATTGAGAAGCGATCTACCGATTTGAGTCCTATTTAAAACAGATAAGAGTATCCTTATTAATTTAACTTGCTTGCGTAGAAGTAATAATCCAAAAAGCATATGATGCCCCGAATCTCCAAGCTTGAATTATTTCATTTATTATCGTCATTCAAATCGGGATAATATTCCATAACAAATTTGAATCGATTTTGTCAATCCATTTGGAAGATATAAACAAAAATAAGTTTTTTACAATTTAAAACACAGTTTCTTGGAATAAAATCGCTTCTGAAGATATGAATTTTTTAGTTTTTTGTGCTTTAATATTATTTAGTTTTTTAAATACTTTATGGAAGCTTCATATTATTATCACAATTTTTAAATGAAATTTTATTAATGGATGTTGTTTTGAGTTAAAACTTTTGTAGTAAATTTAGAAGCTGTTAAATGTATTTAAAGTAAAACAAAAAGAATGGTATATATGTTACTATTGAAATTGGCTGTTAGGTACATATTTCGGAAAAACTTGAACTTACAGGACGATTGCAAAATATGGAATAAATTTGTGTTCAAAAGCGTAAAGAATTTAAAAAATGCCTTATATTTCTCATTTCATTTTTCAGTTTTTCACTTTTATAGTTATACATACAAACGTAAGTTTTCTTTATACCATTTTTTCTTAGACTTCCCTTTTACAAAATGCAAGGTGTTAACGTTACAATTTAAAAAAGGTTTTTATGGATAACTCTCTTGATTTTTGATATAAGAACAGAAGTTTTGCAAGGATTTATTTAATAGCGGCATATTTTTTTATAACACTGATAAAGGAAAATCGATTTACTCCTTTGAATATGTGATGTCTACTCGTTCATTGTTCTTTAATCTGTCATCTGTCCATTTTTTTTTATTGACGAACTATGTTTTACAAAGTACTGATTACTACCTTTTCAAATACGTTTTTGTATAAAATCGTAATAACCAAATTAGCTTTTCAATTAGAATTATAGAACATTTTGTTTATTTATTTGTCTTTAATGCAAAAGAACGTAGTTTCAGTTTGACAGTTAGTGAAAATTGCACAAGGCTAAAACCAAAAGGCACAATTTGGTTATATCTCATTAAAGAAACCTAGATATACCAATCCGAATATCGTGGGGTTGGTAGACATTATTGTCTGAGTTGTAATATTTATTTATTTATTTTGCAACATCCAATACTATTTACACTAATTACATAATAAGATGAACAAAGAAAATATACAGAATCACTATGATTTATCAAAACGGAATAATTTAAAATGACTTATTTTGTGGTATGTATTAACAGATGTATTAAGAATATCTAGCTAGCTATTTACTGTGTTCTAACTAATACAACATTGATTGATAAATGTGAGCATTGATTAGTATATTAGTTCTAGGAATAGGCAAACGGAAGGTAATGGAAGAGCGTTATTCTATGAACAGTAATACTAAACTTTTGTATTATGACTGAGTCATTAATAACATATTTTACTTTATGTAGTAATACAGATTGGTAACGTCTACCTCTACAATTATCAAAAGTGTTAAAATTATACGTAGCAAGGAGAAATTCATGTGGTATGTTCAGGATAGACTTCAACAGCTTTAAAAGATTTTTAGAAAGTTTTAGTAACGATCTTTTATATGTTCAAATTTAACTGTCTGCATTTGATAATAGTAGAAGCTCCAGCTCTAAAAGAGACAAGCCTTTGGTATGAAATACAATACCTTAATCACAGATGAACACTGAAAAAATGCTGAGGGAGTGCGTTGGTAAATGACTAATACAATCCCTTTGATCGGAGTTTTTTTACCAAAGTTACATAAAAATTCGGCCGAACATATGTTTGTAGAAACTTTTTAAATAGATATATTCAAATTCTCTTATCAACTTTTGAGTTTGATAGTTTACAACTGGGAGGTATTTACTATCTAGGTAGATCATTTTACATATACAAATAATTAGAAAAATTTAACTTAAAAATGTGTGCGCCTTCAGAGATTATTTTTACATAGTTTTTTTAAGACTATACATCCTAATAGTTACTATGACGTTGACTGTCTTTTCAAATGAAAAGAAGTTATCATAATCATTTATATATTAATACCTAAGAAATCATAGTGCAAAGAAAAATATTTACGAAGTGTCATTTGTTTCTATTAATTCCACATTAGCAGTTAACTATAAACGCCATTGTTCGATGACAAACAATTAGAAAGACGAATGATATAAAGCAAAGTGAAGACAATAATCCATTATAAACTGTGCTCTCTCTAGGCACAGATATTCCATAACACAGCAATAAATTATCCATTCATTTGCTTACCTACCCTTTAGCCCTGCCAAAATCTGAACACACACTTAACGGTATCTGTTCAAAGGACCTGGATGCTGTAGGTACAATGCGGCGCATTGTACAGGAAACAATCCTGCCGGAGTTGCATTCCATTGCACGTTACGCGTACAGTATATCCCTTAACTGTGTTTCGGACAATATTTTTGTAAATTTGTTAAAAAAATAGTTCATATAAATTTGATTTTAAACTTTTGGAACTTGAATTTAATTCTTAGGAACATTTTAATAGCATCAGGAGAACAATTTTTTCAAGCAACGGAAAGTGTCACATAAGAAATATTGATAGGAATTTCAAGGAGGTCATAACATCAACAAAAAAAAAACAATTGCCTCAGTTAAATGGTTTAAACATCGTTATAAATTCCTATAATTAGATATCAGTCAAGCTTCTTAACAAATGACAAAGTTTTACTGCATTTCCTATTGAATAATTTTGAATGTATCGCAAAGTTATACTAAATTCTGAAATTTTATTAGTATTATTAATATCAGAAATAATTTTTCTTACAGGATATTCAGTTATGTGAAACATCCATAATTTTAACGTTACAATGTCAAGTAGAATGTTGTTACTATTGTTAGTATTCAGTAGAGATGGGCCACTAATAAGTTTCCATATTGGAAAGTTTCCAAAATGGGAACTTTCCAGGAAGGGAAGAATCCTGTTCAGGAAACATTTCCATATTTTGAATTTCCCGCCAAATTATAACTATTTGACATCACCTTAGAAATTGTTGTATTGAGGTTACCTGTTAGACATTTTCGATTTTTGTATTTTTTGTGCATCAATGCATCATTAGCGTATTTTCATGTTATTTGTACGTTTTTTTAAATCCGTAGTTGGCAAGTTAAAGTCACTAAAAAATAATAGGTACAAATAATAATTGCTGTAAATACATGTTGAAACGATTTCCGAATTTCCAGATATCAAATATCTTCCTGCAAAGCCAGAAAATAAGTCTATAATATAATTAATTATAATCATTAATGTTACCACAACTGACAGTGTAAGTATATACACATGTACAATACAAAACAAAAACAAAAAACAGTCTGTAAGTGGCGGAAAATATTTCTGGGCAACTTCCCTTGGAAAGTTTCCAAGTATATATTCCCTGGGAATCACGGGAAACATTTGGCAACATTCCCGAAATATATTTTGGGAATATTTCCAAAAAAAATATCTTCCCGGGAATTTTGCATCTCTAGTATTCAGTATCTGAAACGAATGAATTTTAATTAACCAACATCAGTTTCTGACATAATTACGAGAACCATAAATGCAATCTAACTGTTATGAATTGAAGTAAGTCATCATTTTTCTGCAAAACAATTGAAATATTATATCTATGACCATCCTGGAATTCCAAACAATTCCAAAATAACAATTTTAATATTAAAAAAAATGGTCGGAGAATTGAACACCCCGTAAGGAACGAATGTTTTCAAGGCTAAGAATAAACAGTAAATTCTAAATTCAAAAATAAAAATCTCTTCCTATTCGGAACACAATCGTGGAATACTCATACACGGTAGATGTATCACGACTCCCAATATTGTTGTGCAGCATCAGGAAATCAATCAGTGCTAAATTCAAAACTATTGCGATGCTAAAGTAATTTTTATGGAATGATGTGATACATTTAACACAGTTGTATTGTAGAAATAATTGTCAATTAAAATGCAAAACATATTACACTGATTTCTATCAATCAAATTTAACTTACCTTACACGAGAAGGGTAATGGATACACAGACCAATGCTAGAAACAAAATACGATTAAATATTTTAAATCAGCTAAAGTATATTAGTCGGTAAATAATGTCAAGTACGCCTAAATATTTACTTATCACTGGCAATAGCTAAGAGAAATGCACTTATTTTGTCCAGTGATATAGTGTAGCAGGTCATTTCTCGAATGGACATCGTCGCGTGAGCGAGCACACCGAAACTAATATATTTTTCTACAAGCCCAGCATCTGTACTCTCCCCATTAGTTGATTGGTTCAATAAAAAGTGGATTGAGAACTAGTTTAAAAACAAACAACAATCTTAAATCGTCTGAGTTTAGTGTTTTTTTTTTGTGATCGAAAATATTTTAGAACACGAAAAAGGGTACAGAAAGCATATGGTCCCGATGTCAGTGACAATTTGTTTTGTGAACACAAACGTAAGAAATCAGAACATCAAAGTAATTATATGTATTATTATTAATTCATAATTATCGACAAGTTGCGGTTTATTAATTTTGTTTCAAACAATATTTGCTTCCCTTTTGAAAGAAAACTTAGTTTAGTGTTTCTGATTTGACTATTTGAAGTGAGTTTCAACTGAAATTGTTTATCCCCACTTACTAATTTCTGCACAAGCTCGAAAACATGATCAGTTGACACTTTACAATTAGTTGAAAGTAGTTTATAAGGTCTATGAGTTAGATTTACTGTTTGTTGTCAAATTTATTTCTCTGTCAAATTCAAATCAAGAGGGTCCCTTGCAAAAGGGAAGCAGCTAATAATCTGAACGAGAGTAAAAGAATTCCAGTTACAAGATCA